TTTCGCTCAGCAATAGCAGACAGCTGTGACCAGCGGCGCCACACCCTGACACGTGGCCAGCGGCGCCACACCCTGACACGTGGCCAGCGGCGCCACACCCCTGACACGTGACCAGCGGCGCCACACCCCTGACACGTGGCCATCGGCGCCACACCCCTGACACGTGGCCATACCCCTGACACGTGGCCAGCGGCGCCACACCCCTGACACGTGGCAAGCGGCGCCACACCCTGACACGTGGCCAGCGGCGCCACACCCCTGACACGTGACCAGCGGCGCCACACCCTGACACGTGACCAGCGGCGCCACACCCTGACACGTGGCCAGCGGCGCCACACCCCTGACACGTGACCAGCGGCGCCACACCCTGACACGTGACCAGCGGCGCCACACCCTGACACGTGGCCAGCGGCGCCACACCCTGACACGTGGCCAGCGGCGCCACACCCCTCACACGTGACCAGCAGCGCCACACCCTGACACGTGGCCAGCGGCGCCACACCCCTGACACGTGACCAGCGGCGCCACACCTTGACACGTGACCAGCGGCGCCACACCCCTGACACGTGACCAGCGGCGCCACACCCTGACACGTGACCAGCGGCGCCACACCCTGACACGTGGCCAGCGGCGCCACACCCTGACACGTGGCCAGCGGCGCCACACCCTGACACGTGGCCAGCGGCGCCACACCCTGACACGTGGCCAGCGGCGCCACACCCTGACACGTGGCCAGCGGCGCCACACCCCTGACACGTGACCAGCGGCGCCACACCCCTGACACGTGGCCAGCGGCGCCACACCCCTGACACATGACCAGCGGCGCCACACCCCTGACACGTGACCAGCGGCGCCACACCCCTGACACGTGACCAGCGGCGCCACACCCTGACACGTGACTAACAATATGAGCTCACATGCTAAATTGTGGGCTAGGATAAATATTAAGTTAAAAATCAGGAAATCCTATTAGCCTATACACACACATTATATATATATATATATAATATATATATATATATATATATATATATATATATATATATATATATATATATATATATATATATATATATATATAATCATACACAATTATAGAAAAATGCAGATGGCTATAAACTATACTGAGGAAGCTATGGAAACATTACTTATCATGGAACTCTACGTTGGTTTGTGGCTGTACTCTCTCGCGCCTGGCCCGACCTCTCAGCCTGGGTCCTGGGTAAATACTGGTTGGAAACATGTTTTATGGAACAAATTACTGGGTAACATAATGTGATCGCTGCATAGTATGAGTTTGCTTGGGTATAAAATCAAACCTGCACACAGAAATAAAAGCACATGAGACCAGGAGGCATGGCAGGATGTGCAGAATACCCCCCGTTGAAAAGCAGAGGTGCAACAGGTACTCTGAGAGAGAACTATCAACATCAGAGGCCCGAGACTGTTCAACACGCTTCCACTACACATAAGGGACATAACTGGCCGACCCCTCACAGTGTTCAAGAGAGAACTCGATAAATACCTCCAAAGGATACCTGATCAACCAGGCTGTGACTCATACGTCAGGCTGCGAGCAGCCGCGTCCAACAGCCAGGAGACCTTGTGCAATACCCGGGCCGCGGGGACGCTAAGCCCCGAAACCAACACAAGGTAACCACAAGGTAAGATAACCATCCCATGTTGGAGTTGGAAAACATGACTTGATAGTCGGCACAATAGACTTAATGATGGTCCAGGACGGACCGAAACGTCGTCGCCTTTTCATCTTCTAGTGTGTGGTCTGGTCAACATTCCTCACCCACGTTATTGTGACTCATCATCTGCCTTTGGAAAACATGACTTTGTTGATCGATTGACCAATGAGGCTTCCAGAAAAGAAAACACTGATTATGACTTTGAACTATCTAATGCAATTATTAGAAACATACAAATTAAAGAAATTACTTCAGATATAGAAGAACTAAGAAATGCCCAGAGACCTGAAAGCTGCAGTATTAATAGTTATGACAACTTTTGTAATAATAGGTATTTGTATGGTCAGCACAGTAACCGGACCTGGGGCCAGATTCACGAAGCAGTTACGCAAGTACTTACGAACGTGTACATCTTTCCTCAATCTTTGACGGCTTTGGTTACATTTATTAAACAGTTTACAAGCATGAAAATGTCCCAATCAACTGTTGTTGTTATTATAAACAGCCTCCTGGTGCTTCGGAGGTCATTAACTATTTCATAATTGTAAACAAACCCGCCAAAGATTGAGAAAAGATGAACAGGTTCGTAAGTACTTGCGTAATTGCTTCGTGAATCTGACCCAGGTATAATGTAATGTAGTCATTGCGGTAATTCGCCTTGGCTATAGACACATCTGGCAGGTTAGTGAAGCTGAGCCACTACCAGAATATTCAGATTGTAAACTCTGTGACAAACCTTTAATGCATTCACTTGAACACTATATTGATGAATGTGAAACTATAAAAGATTTTAGACCTCCTGGCATATTGTATCACCAACTGTGTAACTATTTCATTGAATCTGGTGTACTGGACGACATCTTAACAATTTATTCTAAATTTGCTTCTCCATTTTAAAGAATGAAGAACAATTTTATTTATTTAATTTTTTAAGCTGCATCTCTTATGAACCCGTCCCTGCCCTTGTGTGGCAGTGCACATTAGAAAGTTGTATTTACATATTCGTACATTGAAACGTGTATACAGTCTAATGGAGTTGATTGTAACCATGATATATATGTACTTCAGCCTACAGTTTAGAGCTATTGTCTTGTGTGACCCTCTGTCCTGTGTGACAGTGTATACCAGCATCATCCTCACTCTAATAAGACCTAATTGAATTACTCATATTAGGCAAAATTGTAATTATTTTTTGTCAATAAAGTCAATTTCAAGTTATGTCAATGTCAATTTGTTTTTGTCAATAAAGCTGTTATTTCATTCATCTGGGCTCTAGGAGACTCGAACCGTGGACCCCACCTGAGTGAGACCGAAGCTCTATCGACTGAGCTATGAGCAGTTTTAATAAGGAAAGTTTCTAGTAGTTGCTTCTGGAATCTTACCTTATTAAGACTCCTCATACTTCACTCGAGAGAGCTTCGGCCTCACACGCGTGGGGTCCGCGGTTCGAGTCTCCTAGAGCCCGGGTGAATGAAATATTTATTTCCACGGAAGTGTGGAAGACAATTTATAAAGATGTTTATAATAATAGTATTTAATTAGGATAAGTTTCATGCCCTGAACTATGGAAACAAATGAAAATATAAAAACGGAAACCACGTACAAACCTCAGTCAAATCATAACATAGAACGAAAAGGTAATGTAAAGGACCTGGGTGTACTCATGTCGGAAGACCTTACCTTTAAAGAACACAATAAAGTAGCCGTCACAACTGCAAGAAAAATGACAGGTTGGATAACAAGAACCTTTCACACTAAAGATGCTCAACCCGTCCTCGACTCGAGTCCAATCCGTCCAGCGGTCGACCCCACAGACGCATTCATCCATTTTAACATGCCGTTCATTCAAAACGGGAATTTTCTCAAATATAAATTAATATTATAATATTTTAGCATATTGTTCATATATAGGCATAGGTTAGGTCAGGTGTTTAGGTTCTGTTGGCGATTATTTGTGTTTGTAGTACGTGGGTGAAGCATTTACAGCGTTGTGGTTCGAACAAAATTCGTCAGTGAAGCACTTGTTCCGGAAGTGTTCGAACGAAATTATTTGTGAGTCGTGTGTAAACCGCTTTTCATTCATAAATAGGGGGTTTGGCGGGTGGATGGAATGGACTTTGACTTTAGTATATGAGGACGGGATGCTGGCCGACCCCTCCCAGTGTTCGAGAGAGAGCTTGATAAACAACTCTAAAGAATACCTAATCAACCAGGCCGTGATTCATACATCAGGCTGCGAGCAGCTGCGTCTAACAGCCTGGTTGACCAGACCATCAACCAGGAGGCCTGGTCAGAGAACGGGCCGCGGGGGCATTGACCCCTGGGATCAACGCAAGGTAAACTGCAAGGTATATGAAGGGTTACATAGTGTGTGTCAAGAGCCAGCTGAGTGATACTAAGTTACCCGGTCATTTATACAGCTGCTCTAGACTATATGAAGGGTTACATAGTATCAAGAGCCAGCTGAGTGATACTAAGTTAACTGGTCATTTATACAGCTGCCCTAGACTATATGAAGGGTTACATAGTATCAAGAGCCAGCTGTGTGATACTAAGTTAACCGGTCATTTATACAGCTGCCCTTGACTATATGAAGAGTTACATAGTATCAAGAGCCAGCTGTGTGATACTAAGTTACCCGGTCATTTATACAGCTGCCCTAGACTATATGAAGGATCACATAGTGACAAATACTAGCTGTGTTTCAAGGGACAGGGCTAGCAAAATATAGCATTAGGTGAGCAAGACGCGTGATAATCACACATCAACAAGGTCCCTGGCAGAACTACGCATCGGACCCAAAACACGCAAGGAACGCCCCAACTCTCTAAACCGAAAAACTTCCCCACCTAAAGAATCCAACGAAATGACTCGGGCCAACGGAGAATTTTTTTCCCCCTTTTTATAAAACGGAAGAACACGGTGAATAAAATTCTAGCCAGACTATAATGGAATTTTTAAGCGAGGCGTGAGTGTGTGGGAGCAAGGATGGTGTTTGCTCTACGAGGCCCGTCTTACACTTAGATTACTTGCCTCTCCAGTAGGATAGCCTGGCCCATCCACCCGTTATCCTCCCGCTAACAGCGGGGTTGGTGGCGGAATTAACACAGGCATCTCGTTGTAGTGCGAACAGGGCAAGATTGCTGTGACGTTAACAGGGAGGATTTCTGTGACGTTAACGGGGCAAGATTGCTGTGACGTAAACCGGGCAGGAGTGTTGTGCCGTTAACAGCGGTGATTACTAATTAAGACAAAGTTCACCACCTCCTTAAACCACGCGACATGAGGGGGGGGGGGGAGGTAATGGCGCTGAATAAGGTCAACCCCAAGATTGTTACCCAACTGTGCTGGTATCATCCCTCACGCTCCTCGACCAGCTCGGCCTGCCTCAAGGGTCACCACTCACGCTCCTCGACCAGCTCGGCCTGCCTCAAGGGTCACCACTCACGCTCCTCGACCAGCTCGGCCTGCCTCAAGGGTCACCACTCACGCTCCTCGACCAGCTCGGCCTGCCTCAAGGGTCACCACTCACGCTCCTCGACCAGCTCGGCCTGCCTCAAGGCTCACCACTCACGCTCCTCGACCAGCTCGGCCTGCCTCAAGGCTCACCACTCACGCTCCTCGACCAGCTCGGTCTGCCTCAAGGGTCACCACTCACGCTCCTCGACCAGCTCGGCCTGCCTCAAGGCTCACCACTCACGCTCCTCGACCAGCTCGGCCTGCCTCAAGCATCATGTCCCCGGGGAAGAACGTGGAAGCAGCCGTAGTTCTGGTTCATGACAGAGCCGTTCAGTGATCAGCAACTCCATATCAATGTTACAACTGCCAATCACTGGCAAATCCTTATTACAATCTCACAACAAATTAAAGCATTCGATAATATGGTTTCAGCGACTGAATAAATCCAAGACGAGTTGTATTGTTACAGATGCCTTTGACTTGTGACGGTATCATGGCTTGCTGGCGAGGATACAAGTACTAATTAAGTGAAGGAATATCAGGTCTCATTCTACAGTTAGTAAGGCACTACTTTGAGAATGTACTCTATAGCCAGTCCTTAATGGAACAAAACAGGTGCCAGTGTACCACAGGGAAGTGTGCTTGGCAGATTTCGTGTGGAATGTTTACCTCACCGATCTACTACACCTAATTAATAACAATTTGTAGTTACATGTGCCTAAAGTACGCGAGAGCAGGTAACACTGGCAGCTATGAAAACATTGCAATTGTTACAAGCACGCAGATGGTCGACATGAAGTTTGTGCCGTGAAGTGAAGTTATGTTGAGGATGAAGTCCGCTTCCTCCTTGACCATGATGACCCAGGTCCCGAACCAAGCCATCAAGACAGCCAAGATATTAAGAGCACGGCCACGCGTCTTTTACCTTCTCAACAGCAGGCAAGAATGTCCAGACTTCTTCACGAGAGCAACAGTTATAGAAGGGGAGACAAATATGATATTTCTAACAGCTTTTTAGAGGAAACCAAAAACCAGACTATTACGGATAAGAGATGGGAAGATGCAGACAAGACTATTATAAGAGTCCTGATGGTGGCGGAGGAAGGCTGAGGACTGGTCTTCAGGCCGTCAACGGACACACACACGTGCTACAGTCACGTGTGTGTGTCCGAGACGCACACACGTGACTAGATACTACAGACACACACACACACACAGACTATCACACTACACAACACAACACTAGTACTCACCAGTACTACTACTACTACTACTACTACTACTACTACCAAAACTGGACGACTCATGACCTGCCAACACCACCACCACCCCGAGGATCACGAGGGAGAGGGAGGCTAACTCTCAACACCTACCAGAAGCGACGCACAATATGTTAAGTGTTTTATCTGCCAATATACACGCCCTAAGGTCGAAATCGAGGTAAGTTATGTTCATAAATGGCCTTCTAATAAGAGTCAAATTCAATATTTGGAACATTCAGAGAAAACCGCACGAGAAAGAGATAACATGAATAGTGAAATCCGCAGCACAAATTATAATTTATACAGGTGTGGCAGTAAATATGTCAGGTGGTGGAGGAGTTAAGTATATTAACAAAATAAACTTGTATGCACAGAGGTGCTAAACGCACCCAGCGAGGTGGTAGAGGTATTGGGAATCAAGGAGAAAACATAAACCTAGTTATTATTCTAATATCCAAACCGCTGGATGCAACAGTTAAGACAAAATACAGGATTGCCTAGATGCTCTAGAAGACCCGCTGCCCAATATTACACTTCAATCTACCCAGTTTAAGATGGAGAATATCGAACAATAGCATTATACATTGATGTCAACCTCAACCTGGAAATAATCACCCACAGGTCTGAGAACTACTAAGGTTTTGTGACAAATTTTCGCTCACCCAGCAATAACAGAGCCAACTACCACCGAAAATAAGCTCAACCTGATCTTCACAAACACGTCACAAACTCCTTCAAGCTCAACTAACATCAACACGTGTACTCACCGACTTGTACTCACCTAGTTGTGCTTGCGGGGGTTGAGCTCTGGCTCTTTGGTCCCGCCTCTCAACCATCAATCAACTGGTGTACAGATTCCTGAGCCTACTGGGTTCTATCATATCTACATTTGAAACTGTGTATGGAGTCAGCCTCCACCACATCACTGCCTAATGCATTCCACCTGTTAACTACTCTGACACTGAAAAAGTTCTTTCTAACGTCCCCTGTTGCTCATGTAGGTACTCAGTCTCACCTGTGTCCCCTTGTTCCCGTACCGACCGTGTTAAACATTCTATCTTTATCTACCCTGTCAATTCCTCTCTGAGAATTTTGTAATCATGTCATTTGAAATCATGAGTGATCATGTCTCCTCTTACTCTTCTGTCTTCCAGTGTAATATGTTCAAAAGGATAAACATGTGAGACTTAAAAACATTCAATTTTAACAACAATAATTGGACTGATTCAGAAAACTAAACACAAAACTTGCAAACCTCCAACGGGGGAACCGTGTTAAGTAACAACTGCCGCACAAGGAACAGAACAACTGACAAGCGAAGTGTACAAAATCTACTCGAAATATGTTCCATTGAGGAAGATCAAAAGATAGGACCAACTTTGAGAGGGCCTCTACATTGACCTCTACAAAAAAAGGAAAATAATAACTGAATTGCTTAAGCAAACACAATACAAAGAAAAAGTACTTTATACCGGGAGATTGGCGGGATAGAGCACAAGCTGAACAGATCATCCCAGGCTGAAGAAATGCAATTTGAACAGAAGTTATACAAGAGATACCTGGTTGATACCTGGTTGATGGGGTTCTGGGAGTTCTACTCCCCAAGCCCGGCCCGAGGCCAGGCTTGACTTGTGAGAGTTTGGTCCACCAGACTGTTGATAAGAAGAGATCCAAAATATTTTGTCACACATGAGAAGGTAAAACAAAACTGCTTCAGTACTGGACATATAATCACGAGGAGTTTTCATAAGAGAATGACAAAGAAATCAGCAAAATGTTAAAAGACCAGTATGAGGCTCTGTAAAACACTTCGATAAACATGATGAAAGTTGAGGATCCGAACAGCTTCTTCGTGAACGATATCTAAAACACTGTCAATATATCTGATATTAACAAAAGCACAGCAAACTTTGCACAGGAAACTGAGAACATGCACATGCGCTCAGCCCCGGGTCCAGGCTCCGGGAATTCCATATGCATGAGAAATATAGAGTACCAATAGCACGAGCGCTCAGTGTACCACGGAGAAAGAATTTGGGTACAGATTCGATAACAGAAGCGCTTAAATCAGCAGACAGCGCCATAGACCGGTTCCACTAACCTCACACGCAAATTAAGTTTTGGAGCGAGTCTACACCAAATTTTCAGTTTTATGGAAAACAATGAACTTCACAATCCAGTTCAACGGGGATTTAGTATGGGACGATCCTGTCTTTCGCAATTACTCAACCACGATGACAAAATCAAGGAAGCATTACAAGAAGAAAAAATGTAGATGTTATACACGAACTTTGTAAAGGAGGTCTGATAAATGTGACATTGGAGTATTAGATCACAAAATGAGATCAACAGGAATAACAGGTAGGGAAATGGATATTCAATTTCCTATTAAACACAATGCAAATAGTAACTGACAACCAGGAATAATCAAGTCGAAGCACAGCGAAAAGCTCTATATCCCGAGGCACAGTCCTTGCACCACTGTCTCCTCTCATTCTCACTCAATAAAGGGCAAACATCCAAGTGACAGCTTTAAGTCTTCCATTGCGGACATAAACAAAAAAATCAGCATAAAAATAACCTCTATAGAAGACAATGAAAACTACAAGCTGAGATTGTCTTCGAGAGGACAACAAAAAATAAGATGATGTTTAAGAGTGATAAATTCCAGGTACTCACATATGGTAAAGTGAACTTCAAGGAAATACAGGGCACAAGACATTATCAAACCTCCTCTTAGAAGAGAAAACATATGAAGGATCTGGGAGTAAAGATGTCAGACGATATCCAGACCCGGACCAGCCGGGTTGTAGTGGATATGTGGGCCTGCGGGCGGCACCATGCAACAGCCTGTTGGACCAAGTTATCACAAGTCTGGCCTCAGGCCGGGCCTGAGAACAACAACTAGAACCCACTGCAAACATACTCCATGTATACTTTATACTGGAGCATATGAAGCATGTGTGTGCGTTCATCTTGAATAGTTTATACCCACCTGTCCTCTTACAAAGAACGTCGCATATGGCTCGTTTACGTTACATACGGCCAAAAATTGTCGTACTAGAAAATGGAAGCGGCTCGCGAAACTGACGTACTGCCCCCATTTTCTGTTTAGTGTCCTCTGGTAGGTTAGGAGAGGACACTTTAAGTTGGCCGCTTTCTTGACGTTGGAAAACCTTAGGAGGCCGGACTGTTTATACACTGCTCACTTGCCTGACCTGAACCATCATCAGGTCTCAGGTCAGCTCAAAGGCTGTGTTGAGACTCGTGTAAGACGCATCATCCCTGGTACAGAACCATCCCGCCTCGATGCCTCGGTTCATTACAGCTTTCATTCCCCAGGATATGTTGGTGAACTGACCATAATGTATGTGTCCAGTGTTGCCCAGGACACACACCTGTATGTGTCCAGTGTTGCCCAGGACCCACACCTGTATGTGTCCAGTGTTGCCCAGGACCCACACCTGTATGTGTCCAGTGTTGCCCAGGACCCACACCTGTATGTGTCCAGTGATGCCTAGGACCCACACCTGTATGTGTCCAGTGTTGCCCAGGACACACACCTGTATGTGTCCAGTGTTGCCCAGGACCCACACCTGTATGTGTCCAGTGATGCCTAGGACCCACACCTGTATGTGTCCAGTGATGCCTAGGACACACCTGGACCAACTGTGTAATCAGGAGATGGCAACTACAACACAAAGTCCTCAGCCGTCAACAGCCTCGTGCTGCCTGTGCCATTCTTAACTATATTCGCGAGCATTCATTCTTCATTCTTCAAGTGACTTGCATTTGGAAGGTGCCAAGTGAACCGACCCTCTCAAGGCTCTGGCACTCAACTGGCACCAACATTACCCTATACCTGATGCAACTGTTGCAACGTTAAAGTTTGTGTGTAAAGAAAAACAGTAATCTCATTAAATATATACATTTTCCAGACAGGTTGCCAAGGAACTTATGCAGGATAACTCTAAGCTTGCAGCATCATACGTGTTGCAGCCTTGTTCTTGTTCAGGAAGGAGAGGGGGAGAGGGAAGGGGAGAGATGGGAAGATGAGGA